CTACTTTTATAAGGATGATCGAATAAATATTATGGAAAATTGTTCCATTGAATTCTCCGTATTTACATTTTTATCAGTGTACCGTATGTTCTCGCTTAAGCGAGTGTAATCACCATAATTGCAGGCTTGCTCTTTCTCCGCTTAAGCTCTAGCCATTGTACTTTCTACACTTACGTTTTCTTACTTTCCTTTGCGAAGCATTAGCTTATACTATATTTATTTCCTTTTAATCAGGAAGTGGAGAAGGATGCAGCTAGAGAGGAGAGAGCAGGCCTTGTTAGTTTCATTTGTGACTTCATTCATATAGTCCATTAATTTTCTCTCTCTTCTGTCTCTTTCCCTTTCTAACGGACTATAATGTTGTAGAATGTCAATTTTCACATTATTTAAATATCTCGAGAAGTCGTGAAATATTTCCGCCTCAACTCGAAATCTACAAAGAGACTGCAAGTGGAAATTGTATTAAACCCTGTAATCGTAATTGAAAAAGCTCCGAGTCAGAAATACGAATTAATTATACACTTTTATTTTTCACATTTAATTATACACTTTTATTTTTTTTATCTTTTACACAGCGATGACGAGTCGCACTTTCATTAATTTCACGAATGAATGCGCCGAAAAAAAAGAAAGAGAATACCAACTCAAAGCCGGCGCGGCGCCTCGCCGAAACGAACAAACTGCCGATTACGGCTTCTTCCGCGCTACCTGTTTTCAGGCTCCTCGAAATTAATTTTGCAGGCGGATAGTCTAGGCGGATCATCCCTCGGGGATTATCCGCTTCTACAAGAATCCGCGCCTCTATGAGAAATTTCTTTTTCGTTTACGTGTTCCCTCAAGAGAACATCTTTTCGCAACTTTCCCGCCCATTCACGCACGGGAACGAATTCTTGGCTGGTTATCGGCTGTAGAGATTACCTCTTTTTCCTTCTTATATTTCTCTCTTTCCAAGAAGATGGCCGGATCAATTGAGGACTCGGCGTGAAAGGATTGCAACCACCGATACTCTCTTGCAGCAAGCGCAATTATCTTTTGTCGAAAGTATCCTCGAAGATAAATGGATAAAGGAAATGTGAAGAATGTACTTTGTAAAAATTAGATGTTCTCGAGAAAAGTAGCATTTTTCAAGACTTTTATTTCTAATTATTATTATACTTTTTTTACATCAAACTTTTAACGATAAGTATAAGGATAAAAAAATATTGGAGCCTACAAAATATTAATACTTTTTTGTGTTAATTTTAACATTTTTGCATCTCAGAAAGTCCGCTGTGCGTTTTTAAGTTAAAATTAACGCTTTTATTTTTTTACAGTGTGAGTTATGAATTTGAACGTGTAAAGCGCACAATTGATAAACTGCAAGCGTTTGTTAAAAAATACATGTACTGAAACACGTGTGAAGCGTGAAACGTGACGGGTATGACCCAGAAAACTCTGAGCGTTCGTTTTTACAGGTTAAAGTAGCATAATGTATGTATCTCCTAGACTGATATATGTATCATAACGGGAATGGCGGGATAATGAAATTGAATGGGATCGGAGGCGAGTCGTTCGTTCTGCCGGCGGAGCCGCCGGGAAATGGCTCCCTTTTCATTTCTCTTGGCGATCGCGCGATACGTCCAACGCAGCTCCGCCGCGTTTCGTTCGCCATTCTCAACCGCGTTCGCGCAGCTAGCCTGCCTCGAAACAATTAACTGTCACGCGAGTGAGAATGAAAAGAGGCAGAAGCTGGAACGACGGGACCTTCGCCGAAGGCGTCCGTATTATCTTCTCCGTTCAACGGACGCGTCGTTATTGTGCCGAGCAGTGCGATACTTTCGCTGTAACTGCCGCTTCGAGACCGCTTGATTCGCACTGGAAGACGTGGTCCACGCGAAGGATTGTGTCACTGCTAAGATTAATTTAACAATAACATATTGTCCAGAGTTATCAATATATATGTATATACAGGTCTGTACTCGCGCCGGATACTCAGCCGGAACTTCAATCGACAGACATTCTGATCCTCGTTATTCGTTACTTGAATTATACACGAGGCTTCAGAATCCGCTTTGAATCCGCGGGATAACTTTGAATACGGTTAAATTGTCTTGAGAGTTAAGGTGAAGAAGCGAAATTCG